ATTTCTTGTGTTTTTTCAACGATCTGAAATAATCTTCGAGCTCTTTTTTTGAAAGAATTTAAAAGAATCACGGGGAGCGCTGATGTTTTGTTTTTGAAAGAATTTGATAGAATCTCGGAGGCTTCTACTGCATAATTTTTGAAAGAATTTGAAAGAATCTTGGGGATGCCTGAAGTTTTCATTTTGAAAGAATTTGACAGATTATGAGTGTTCCTGAATATTTTGGTTTTGAAAAAGTCTTAAAAATATTGAAGTTCTTGCTGCCTTTTTTGGAAGAATCTCGGACGCTTCTGGTGGTTTGTTTTTGAAGACAATTTGAAATAATTTCAGCGTTCCTGGCATTTTTTTTTTAGAATCTGAAAAAATCTTGGAATTCTTTGTATTTTTTAAGAATTTAAAAGAACCCTGTGACTTCGGGTGTATTGTTTTAGACAGATTTTGAAAAAACTTCTGGAGTTCGATATGTTTTTGTTGCCGAAGGAATTTGAAAGAAATTCGAGGATGGTCAGTGTTTTGTTTTTGAGAGAACTGGAAAGAATTTCGCGAATTCTCGGAAGAAAGTCGACACTTCTAGTGATTTGTTTTTAAAGAGAATTTGAAATTATTTCCACGTTCATGGCATTTTCCTTTTTTTTAATCTGGAAGAATCTTAGCGCTTTGTTTTTAAGAATTTAAAAGAAAATTCTGGTTCTAGGTATTTTGTTTTCGAAAGATTTTAAAAGTACCTCCGTGATTCCATGTGAGTTTGTTTGCGAAAGAATTTGAAAGAATTTCAGGGATCCCGGAATGAATTATTTGTAATAATCTCACGGATCGCGATGTTTTGATTTTGAAAGAATTTGAGAGAATCTCTGGGTTCCTGGAGTTACTTTTAAGATTCTGAAAGAATCTCGAGGGCTCCTGGTGTTTTGTTTTTGAAAGAATTTGAAAGAATCTTTGGGATCGCTGGTCTTTTGTTTCTGAAAGAATTTCGGGGATTCTTCGTTATTTATTTTTGAAGGAATTTGAAAGAATTAGAGGTTCCTGGTGTTTTTTTTTAAGAATCTGAATAATCTTGAAGCTCTTTTTTTTGAAAGAAATTAAAAGAATTTCTCAGGCTCCTAGTGCTTTGTTAAAAAAAAAATGAAAGAATCAGAATTTGTTTCTGAAAGAATTATAAAGAATTTCGAGAGATTTTTGGTGTTTTATTTTTGGAAGAATTTGAAAGAATCGCGGAATTCCTTGTGTTTTTTTAAGACTCTGAAACAATCTTGGAGCTCTTTTTTTTTTTGAAAGAATTTAAAAGAATCACGGGGATCGCTGGTGTTTTGTTTTTGAAAGAATTTGAGAGAATCTCTGAGTTCCTGAGTTGTTTTTAAGATTCTGAAAGAATCTTGAGGCTCTTGGTGTCTTTTTTGAAAGAATCTCGAGGGCTCCTGGTGTTTTGTTTTTGAAATAATTTGAAAGAATCTTTGGGACCGCTGGTGTTTTGTTTCCGAAAGAATTTCGGGGATTCTTTGTGTTTTATTTTTGAAGGAATTTGAAAGAATTAGGGCTTCCTGGTGTTTTTTTTAAGAATCTGAATAATTTTGAAGCTCTTTTTTTTTAAGAAATTAAAAGAACGTCTCAGGCTCCTGGTGCTTTGTTAAAAGAAAATGAAAGAATCAGAATTTGTTTCTAAAAGAATTGCAAAGAATTTCGGGAGATTCTTGGTGTTTTATTTTTGAAAGAATCTCTGGGATCGCTGGTGATTTGTTTTTAAAAGAATTTCTTCTAGTGCATAATTTTTCAAAGAATTTGAAAGAATCGCGTTCCCTTATCTGGAAGAATCTTGGCGCTTTTGTTTTTTTTTTTAAGAATTTAAAAGAAATTTCTGGTTCCAGATATTTTGTTTTCGAAAGATTTTAAAAGTTCATCCGGGGTTCCATGTGTATTTGTTTGCGAAGGAATTTGGAAGAAGTTCAGGGATCCCGGAAAGAATTTATAATAATCTCGAGGATCGCGATGTTTTGATTTTGAAAGAATTTGAGAGAATCTCTGAGTTCCTGGAGTTATTTTTAAGATTCTGAAAGAATCTTGAGGCTCTTGGTGTCTTTTTTGAAAGAATATCGAGGGCTCCTGGTGTTTTGTTTTTGAAAGAATTTCGGGGATTCTTCGTGTTTTATTTTTGAAGGAATTTGAAAGAATTAGAGGTTCCTGGTGTTTTTTTTTAAGAATCTGAATAATCTTGAAGCTCTTTTTTTTTGAAAGAAATTAAAAGAATTTCTCAGGCTCCTGGTGCGTTGTTAAAAAAAAGAGATAGAATCAGAATTTGTTTCTGAAAGAATTATAAAGAATTTCGGGAGATTTTTGGTGTTTTATTTTTGGAAGAATTTGAAAGAATCCCGGAATTCGTTGTGTTTTTTTAAGACTCTGAATCAATCTTGGAGCTCTTTTTTTTTAAGAATTTAAAAGAATCACGGGGATCGCTATTGTTTTGTTTTTGAAAGAATTTGAGAGAATCTCTGAGTTCCTGAGTTGTTTTTAAGATTCTGAAAGAATCTTGAGGCTCTTGATGTTTTTTTTGAAAGAATCTCGAGGGCTCCTGGTGTTTTGTTTTTGAAAGAATTCGAAAGAATCTTTGGGATCGCTGGTGTTTTGTTTCTGAAAGAATTTCGGTGATTCTTCGTGTTTTATTTTTGAAGGAATTTGAAAGAATTAGGAGTTCCTGGTGTTTTTTTTTAAGAATCTGAATAATCTTGAAGCTCTTTTTTTTAAGAAATTAAAAGAACTTCTCAGGCTCCTGGTGCTTTGTTAAAAGAAAATGAAAGAATCAGAATTTGTTTCTAAAAGAATTGCAAACAATTTCGGGAGATTCTTGGTGTCTTATTTTTGAAAGAATTTGAAAGAATCTCGGAATTCCTTGTGTTTTTTTAAGACTCTGAAATAATCTTGGAGCTCTTTTTTTTTGAAAGAATTTAAAAGAATCACGGGGATCGCTGGTGTTTTGTTTTTGAAAGAATTTGAAAGAATTTGACAGATTATGTGTCTTCCTGAATATTTAGTTTTTGAAAAAGTCTTACAAATATTGAAGTTCTAGCTGCTTTTTTTTTTTTTTTTGGAAGAAAGTCGGACGCTTCTAGTGGTTTGTTTTTAAAGAGAATTTGAAATTATTTCCACGTTCATGGCATTTTTTTTTTTTTAATCTGGAAGAATCTTGGCGCTTTTGTTTTTTTTTTTAAGAATTTAAAAGAAAATTCTGGTTCTAGGTATTTTGTTTTCGAAAGATTTTAAAAGTACCTCCGTGATTCCATGTGAGTTTGTTTGCGAAAGAATTTCAGGGATCCCGGAATGAATTATTTGTAAAAATCTCAAGGATCGCGATGTTTTGATTTTGTAAGAATTTGAGAGAATCTCTGGGTTCCTGGAGTTACTTTTAAGATTCTGGAAGAATCTTGAGGCTCTTGGTGTCTTTTTTGAAAGAATCTCGAGGGCTCCTGGTGTTTTGTTTTTGAAAGAATTTGAAAGAATCTTTGACATCTCTGGTGTTTTGTTTGTGAAAGAATTTCGGGGATTCTTCGTGTTTTATTTTTGAAGAAATTTGAAAGGATTAGGGCTTCCTGTTGTTTTTTTAAGAATCTGAATAATCTTGAAGCTCTTTTTTTTTGAAGATAATTAAAAGAATTTGTCAGACTCCTGGTGCTTTGTTAAAAAAAATTAAAGAATCAGAATTTGTTTCTGAAATAATTTGAGACAATCTCGTGGATCGCTGGTCTTTTATTTATGAACGAATGTAAAAGAATCTCGTGGTTTCTAGTGTTTTGGTTAAGAATATAAAAGAATCTTGGCGCTTTTTTGTTAAGAATTTTTAAGGAATTTCTGCAATTTCTGATTTCAGGTATTTTGTTTTCGAAAGATTTTAAAACTACCTCCGGGGTTCCATGTGTTTTGTTTCCGAAGGAATTTGTAAGAATTTCAGAGATCCCGGAAAGAATTTATAATATTCTTGAGGTTCGCGATGTTTTGATTTTGAGAGAATTTGAAAGAATTTCTAGGGCTCCTGGTGTTTTTTTTTCCTGAAAGAAATTAAAAGTACCTTTCAGGCTTCTGGTGTTTTGTTTTTAAAAAGATTTTAAAGAATCAGAATTTTTTCCGAAAGAATTTGAGAGAATCTTGCGGATCGCTGATGTTTTATTTTTTAAAGAATTTAAAAGAATCTCGTGGTTTCTAGTGTTTTGGTTAAGAACCTGAAAGAATCTTGGATCTCTTAATGTTTTTTTTTTTTTTAAGAATTTAGAAGAATCTCTATTTCCGGGGGTTTCATTTATTTTGTTTCTAAATGAATTTTAAAGAATTTCGATGTGATCGTGCTTCCGAGGTTTGTTTTTGACCGTTCACCTGATTTCCGCGTACTCCGCGCCAAACCAAATATAAACAAGTTAACAGAATGCGTTCGAATCAAAGGCAGTGGCAGAGTATGAGTGGTTAAAGTATGATACTTCGATGAATTCGGAAAAACAAGTTCTACAAGAATCTTAAAAAGAAGTTCTTTCGAAATATAAATACTAAAAGTAGGATAAACCCTCGAGAGATGGATTTTTTATTCAGATTAAGTTATTTATAGGTTAAACGATTTTCTACGTTTCGGAAGAGATGAATTAAGTCGAAAAAGCAATTTTTTAAATTAAAACTTTTTCATTTATATGATGTATAGTATAAAACTTATCAACGCGTTATTAAAAAGGTAAATTTTTATTACTATTTTTTTTATTCACGGGTGTTGTGAGTGGGCGAACACAGCCTTTATTAATCGTCGTTTAAATATTCCCGATTGCGTTCCAAATTTCCTCTTTAATGAAAGCAACATAATAAAACGGTTTATTGAACATTTCTATACATTTCGACTTCTCTTTATTGAGTATTTCAGGAGTGTGTCAAGGCAGCGCTTTGAGCCCCACTTCTTTTCCGTTTTCTATGACCGATATCAACAATAACAATTTTCGTGTTTCTGAAATTGTCGCAATGATTTTCGTTTGTTCCAGCAGCAAAGCCACCAAACGCATACTCGGAGTCGATCCACTCATCAAACCTCGCACTTCACCACCCACCCACAACACCAAGGGCTGTCAGCCAAGAGGATGTATCTCGGTAAGTTCGAACCCCCACTAATCCCCAGGTTTCCGGTATTTATACCCTTTCCGCGAACTTAGCAAATTAATTATTTAACAAGGCGGTTATGGTTGAGGATCTCGAATATTTTAAGACGAAATTACTAATTAAATCGATAATTAAAACTTCGCTCGGACGTATCGACAGACGATAATGAATTTCGCCCGATTTTCACGTTTTAATTACTCAAAAACAGCGTACTTTTATTTGTTTCTCCAATTTCCACCAATTATCGTAGGCGGAAAAAGCTTAATCACGTTCGGCGGGGTTAATTATTGTTTCATACGGAACTGGCGCTGAATTGATTTGTTTTTATTATGAACCGCAATGAAATCCGTTGATTTGTTGGTGCGGACCACCCGATCAACATAAATTATAGGGAAATGTCATTAATTAAGCCCGAGTGGCAAAAATGGCCGCTAACAATAACTAATTGTTTGTCGAATTTACCAGGGGAATTAGCGAAATCGGGTTATGGCAACCAATTATACAGTGTGTGTTCAATTAGCAGTGGATAAAATCCATATAGATAAGGGAGTACGTGTGGGTGTTGCCAATTCGTTACAAGCACCCGCCATTCCCCAATCACATATTATACAAATTATGTCGCACTAATCGAGACCCGGACGTTTTAAATTTCAGCCTGAAGCCTACTTTAACAATGTTAAAACAGCCTAATTCGATAAGTTAGCCTTTATTAAAAAAGCTTCATTAATAAGGAAGTTTGGAACCACTTCAAAGGCATCTAAATTGCACGTAAAGTAAAAAGAAAAGTTGTTATTCGGGAGGAGTAGCTACAATTGAATTTAAAAAGTTAACTTGAAGGAAAAACTTCGCATGGTTAATGCATTCATTAATTTTAAAATGTGCTGTCTGGGGCCAGTCAATTAAGCTTACGTGTCGCTTTTAATTTAGATTAATCATGTACTCTTCGACGAATATTGTAATAATGTCATAATAGCTCATTGTGATTGGCTCATTCATAACTCGGAAGGTTCATTTCTTGTCGACTAGCTAATCTGCTTGCAACCCGCGTTGCATTCCGACACGTTTTTTCACTTCGTCTTCTACAATGGAATCATGATTCAGTAGTTAACATTCAGAAGTATGAAGTTCTAGTGTGAAAATGGTGTGGTTTTGTGTGGTTGCTTGTTAGAATGATCAGGTTAGAGGATTTTTATTACGCAGATATAGTACTACCAATTTATTATCCTATATGTTTTGAGCTTTTGAATACCTCAGGCAATACGACTGAGACCCGTAAAGTTTCTATTTTTTATCAACGATGTTACAGCTCGATCACAAAATACGATTTACTACTTTTTGCGAGTAATCAAAATAAAGATGTTCGCAATCCATAAATAATAATCATGAGTTTAAATATTTTTATTAAACACCTCAAGGTGCTCATTTGAGACCCATAAATTTGATATTTTTATGAACGATATAACAGCTTGATCACTACATAGGGTTTATTTTTTGCGAGCTGTCGACAAGCCATAAATTATACAAATTTAAATATTTCTATGATTTTGGAAGGAATAAAATGCAAATTTGGTCGCACTGTACTTTACGACATGTCACATTTAATGGCTATATATTTAGTTTTGAATTATGTAGATGTAGGACTATTCTTATACGTCTTATTAAACTTTTAAATACCTCAGGGGTTACATTTGAGAGAGAGAATATTTATATTTTTTATGAACGATGTAGCAGCCCGATCACCACATACAATTTTCACTTTTACGAATTATCTAAAGCTGTCCGTAAGCTGTAAACTATACATTCAAGTTTAGATATTTCCATTAGTATCCATGGAATAAAATTCAAATGTGGTTCTATGGTACTACACACCAAAATATTGCATATTTAGCTCTGGATAATGACTCTGCAAAAGTGGGGGATATTCTTACACGTTTTAAATTTTTAAATACCTCAAGGTGCCTATTGAAGACCTATAAATTTTATAACTTCATAAAGGATGTAACAGCTCGATTACAACATTGGATTTACCTTTTTGAGAAAGAGAACATATTTCACATGGTAATTTCTCGTAAAAAATAAGGATTTTACTATTAAACTCCGCCCCTCGACTTACGACAAATAAAAAAATCATCAGAATTGAGACAGGGCGGGTGGGCGGGGCTTATATTTTGCTTTTTTTTTCTTAATACGTATAGTCATCTTTTCACAACAAGAAACTTAAAACGTAGTTAAAGGGGTCCACTTTTGCAAGGAAATATGGATTTTGCAATTATGGCACGGGGCATAATTGCAAATTATTATACAAATTTTCCATTTTAAACATGTTTTAAGTTTCATGTTCTGAAAAGAAGTCTACACATGTTAAAATAAAAAAAGAAAAATGTAAGCCCGCCCACCCACCCTATCTCAATTGTGATGTTTTTTTTTGTTCACCAGGAATCAAAGGGGCGAAGCTTAACTGCAAAATACTTATTTTTTTATAGGAAATTAAAAACATGTTTTTGTGTATCGTGTTGTTCAAAGATGACTGTGTACATTAAGAAAACGAGGCAAAATATAAACCCCGCCCACCCATCCGCTCTCAATTTTTTTATAGGAAATTAAAAACATGTTTTTGTGTATCGTGTTGCTCAAAGATTACTGTGTACATTAAGAAAACGAGGCAAAATATAAACCCCGCCCACCCATCCGCTCTCAATTGTGATGATTTTCTTTCTTCTTAGAAACTTAAAACGCGTTTAAAGTGGTAAATTTTTGTAAGGACATATGGATTTTGCAATTAAACTCCGCCCCTCGACTTACGACGAATAAAAAAAATCATCAGAATTGAGACAGGGTGGGTGGGCGGAGCTTATATTTTGTTTTTTTTTTTCTTAATACATATAGTCATCTTTTCACAACAAGAAACTTAAAACGTAGTTAAAATGGTCCATTTTTACAAAGAAACATAGGTTTTGCAATTATGGAACGGAGCCTAATTGCAAATTATTATACAAATTTTCTATTTTAAACATGTTTTAAGTTTCATGTTGTGAAAGGGAGTCTACACATATTAAAACAAAAAAGGCAAAATGGGAGCCCGCCCACCCACCCTATCTCAATTGTGATGATTTTTTTATTCACCAGGAATCAAGGGGGCGGAGCTTGTTGTTCAAAGAATACTGTGCACATTAAGAAAACAAGGCAAAATATAAACCCCGCCCATCCACCCGCCCTCAATTGTGATGATTTTTTTTTATTCTTAGTAACTTAAAAGGCGGTTAAAATGGTAAATTTTTTTAAGGACATATGGATTTTGCAATTAAACTCCGCCCCTCGATTGACGACGAATAAAAAAAAAATTGTCAGAATTGAGACAGGGTGGGTGGGCGGGGCTTAGAGATATACCGACTACAGTCGGCCGACTAGTCGGCTTTGTCAAAACCGGTTAAAATTAGTTTAATCGACCGAAAATTGGTGTCAAAGTGTAGATAATCTTCCACTAGTTACGATTCTGAAATCGCCGTCACGATATATGGTCCAATAAACACGCAAAGCGAATTCAAAATTTCCAAAAATTTTCCAAAAAAGTGGTTAAAATTGGTTAAGTATTGTATAAACTACCCTAAATTGTGTTATTCATTATTTTTGTATTGAGTTACTACAAAAAATTAAATGTTAAAATTATCCAAAAAAATTTAACACACTTTTTGGAAAAAAAGAAACTTCAGTTATTCCTTTTATTACAATAAAACAAGTTTTTAAGGTAGTCAGAGAAATAGAAAAAAAAACCACTGTCTGTTGCATTTATAAACAGTCGGCCGACTGTAGTCGGTACATCTCTAGTTTTAAGTTTCATGTTGTGAAAAGAAGTCTACACATGTTAAAATAAAAAAGGCAAAATTTAAGCCCGCCCACCCGCCGTATCCCAATTGTGATGTTTTTTTTGTTCACCGGGAATCAAAGGGGCGAAACTTAACTGCAAAATACTTTTTTTTTTATAGGAAATTAAAAACATGTTTTTGTGTATCGTGTTGTTCAGAGAATACTGTGTACATTAAAAAAATAAGGCAAAATATAAACCCCACCCACCCACCCGCTCTCAATTGTGATGATTTTTTATATTCTTAGAAGCTTCAAACGGGTTGAAAATGTTAAATTTTTGTAAGAAAATAAGGATTTTGCAGTTAAACTCCGCCCCTCAACTTACGACGATTAAAAAAAATCATCAGAATAAAGACAGGGTGGGTGGGCGGGGCTTATATTTTGCTATTTTTTTTCTTAATATACATAGTCATCTTTTCACAACAAGAAACATAAAACGTGGTTAAAATGGTACATTTTTGCAACGAAATATAGATTTTCCAATTATGGACGAAGCGTAATTGCAAATTATTATACAAATTTTCCATTTTAAACATGTTTTAAGTTTGAAAACAAGGCAAAATATAAACTCCGCCCACCCACCCAATCTCAATTGTGATGATTTCTTATTCTTAAAAACTTAAAATGCGTTTAAAATGGTAAATTCTTGTAAGGAAATATGGATTTTGCAATTCAACTCCGCTCCTCGACTTACGACGAATAAAAAAATCATCAGAATTAAGATAGGGTGGGTGGGCGGGGCTTATGTTTTGCCTTTTTTTTTCTAATATACATAGTCATTTTTTCACAACAAGAAACTTAAAACAAGTTTGAAATGGAAAATTTGTATAAGGAAATATGCATTTTGCAATTCTGCCTAATTGCAAAATCGATATTTCCTTATACAAATTTTCCATTTTAAACTTGTTTTAACTTGCTGTTGTGAAAAGAAGTCTACACATATTAAAACAAAAAGGCAAAATGTGAGACCGCCCACCCACCCTATCTCAATTGTAATGTTTTTTTTTGTGCTGGGAGCTTAACTCCAAAATATGTATCTTTTTACAACAAATTGAAATATGTTTTTGAGTGTCGTGTTGTTTAAAGAATACTGCGGATATTAAGAAAATAAGGCAAAATATAAACCC